TTAAAAATTATATGGATTTTGAATTTTTTGTATGGAATTTATCAGTAAGGTTCCCAAAAGATTGCTTCTGTTTATGTGAAGAAATATACTGGCCTACAGGGCCAGAACTTTGGTGGGTAGGTGTTCCAGTTTTAGTTGGGCTACTAATGGGTTGCACAAATTTTGGTTTTTAATGATTTTTTTCTTCTTCTTTTTCATTTTTTTAAAATAAAATTTTATATTAATAAAAAATAAATCAAATTTGAAAAAAAAACCTATTTTATTGAAAAATCAAGTTAATCATTTCTATTCACCCAAAAAAGTTAATTATTTTGTTTTTCCAATTTGATTCATTTTTGTAAAATTTTAAGGGGTTATATTTTATAAGCATCTAAATAATGAAAAATTGATAAAAAAAAAAATTTAAAAACTTTGCTAAAAGCATAAAATTGCTCAAAAATGTTACTGCTAACATATCACTACTTTTATGGCCAAACCAGAAATAGAAAATATTTTTGGGCCGTATACAACTATCAGGCCCAAGTTCGATGTTGACATGTTTGGGCAGGTACTTTTTGCTTTTGGGCCGTGGCTAAATTGTGAGACCATGATCACCAAATCATCAAAGTTTTTCGGCCGAAAAAATTAAAAATAAATCATAATAACTACTAAATAAATTCAAAGTTCAACAAAAGAATTAGAACACCCAAAAATTATTCTACGCCACCGGTTTCAATTCCACAGATACATCTCAATCACTGGGTCCATCCATGCACTCTTTTCAAATTTCGGTAAATGTCAATATAATTTATCTAAATATCAATGCTCAATCTACGAAAAAGCTCATATCATATTGCTATGCACCTATAATTCCAATTGATTATCCAGAATTGTTTTAGTCATTTTTTTCAAGGGATGACATATAATGAACATTTAAATTAGAGCAAGTAACAATTTTGTAATAATGCAACGTGCACAGAAAAGCACACATAAAATATTAAGGTAGCGAGGCCCATATTCATTCTAAGTGTAACCTTTACAAAATTTAAAATCAATTTTAATCATGCATATTAATTTTTTTTGTACACTTATTTATGATTTTCTTCTATATACATAATATTACTTTAATTTTTGTCCTAAATACAAGAAGATGCATTAGACCATCGAATATGTCAAGGTATGTATATAGTATTTTAATATCAAATTTGTGGATATTTTCTATGTACTTTTCGATGTAATCAGCGTATAATGTTCTATAAACATTATTTATTCACTATCAAAACCATTAAATAATAAGTCGAATTTTTGGCATCGATGATAACACTGTTAATTGAGATATCAGCTTATTGTGGGGCCTCATAACCTGACAATTGGGAGATTTTGATTGAATTTATAGAATAAGAAGTGATTCATGGATTGTTTAATACTACAAGTTAGTCATTGTTGTCTAAACAACCATAAGCTTTTTGGTATTCCTATTGATTAAAACAGGTTGGCTTTTAACCTATCTTTATTCTTTTGTGACAGTGACTAAAACACAAAGAATCACCAAAAGTTGGGGACACAAAATGAAAAAAAAGAAAAGAAAAAAGAAGTAAGTATTTATTAAAATATATATATATATATAAGAAATGAAGTATACTATGGTTCATATTCAGAATAAATTTAATTCATATATTTATTTATTTATTTTAGATTTAAAAAAAAATACAATCAATCTCATAGTTTTAATATAATTATACTGATTTCTTTTTTAGTTAGGTTAAAGGGCAGGAACTGATACAAATGGCGTGAAAACACAAAGACAAAAAAAGTAAAATGTATATTTCAATATAAAGAGATGGTAACATTATTATTTTTTTGTTTTTAATCTACATAAATAACAAATTATTGATGAAAAGAAAATCAAGTGTTATTTAAATTAAAATTTTAAAAGAATTCAATACAATTTTGTCAGAATTATAAAACTTATTATATTTTTTAATTTTTTTTTAATAAAGATCAGTGTAATTTATTTCTTTTTTTGGGATGCTTTTCAAAGTATCTTTTAAAGTAAAACATTACTAAATCAAAATGGTGCAGTGTACTTAACTATCCTATATTTGTCATATTTACTTCGTATAAATATTGTTAACTTCGTGTCTAATACTATAGAAGATGTTTAACCCAAAAAAAAAGAAATATTATAGAAGATGACTTCACCACGGCATGACATTTTTCAAAACAGGTATAACCAAAATTAAAACTGTTTTGTTCCAACTTTGTACAACAAAACAAGCAACTCTACAAAGTCCTCCTTTGACAAGTGAGTTGATTTCAGTTGAGACTAAAAAATAAATAAATAAAAATAAAATATCATATTTAAATGATAATTATTTCATTTTTTCTTTTATAAAAAAAATTAAAAAATTCAAAAAAAAATTCCCAAACTGAACTAATTTAGCTAGGTTGAATTAGCTAAAAAGTCAAAAAGTTGAGTAATTTTTGTATACGAATAGAGTATATGTCATGTGATACCTTCTACTATTATGATTGATTTTGACAATATAATCTACTACATTTATGTTGAGTATTTGACAAATAATAAAGGACATATACATTTATAATTAGTAAAAAAAAATATCACATGATACCTTATTAATATACAAAAAATTATCTAAAAAGTCAGGTTAAAAAATTTCTTTCCAAACCAACTCAAAATTGAAAAAGCACTTTTTGTTTTGACTTTCTATGACACGTAAGTTTAAATATTATATTTGTGAGAAAAAAAATAAAATAATTAGTTTGACAAAAATAATTATATTTAGGATGAGCGTTGAATTTCTTTTATAGTTAAATATTATATTTGTGAGAAAAAAAATAAAATAATTATAAGTTTAATATAACATTTTATCTTATTAATTATTTTAGTCCATTTTACCTTTTAATACTATATTAACTCAAAAAGTCAAAAAAATCTCTTTCCGATATATTGGTATAAGATATGAAAGGCGGATCTATTAAGGCCAAGTTTGGGAAGACTAAATAAGTGTACTTTTTGACTTTTTATGAAATATGGGTTGGATTTGGGTTGGGTTTGAAGTGATATGTTAGAGAGGTCATGTGACTTAAATAAGATGATGTGACTTAAATAGAATAGTGACTTTTTGACTTTTTAAATTTTTTGGAAAATGTCAAACTTGGCCTAAAACTAATCAATGATACTAAGGCCTCGTTTGGCAACAGGTCGGTTTAGTCAAAAAGTCAAAAAGTTACTAAAAAAGTCAAAAAATCAACAATCCATACCAAAAAGTCAAAGATTCTCTTTTCTCTCTACTTTTTGCACATCTTTTCGTAAAAAATCAAAAAGTCAATCCAAACATACTAGTTTTTTTAGCTCATATTTTAGCCAAATAGTAAAAAAGCTACTAAATTAGCCTGTTCCCAACGAGGCCTAAGGGGTGCTTTGAGGAGAAGGTTAAAAGTCAACTTTTGGCTTTTTACTCATTTTGGATCACATCACTTCTCATATTTTTTACTCACTAAAAAACAAAATAGACTAAGAAAGTCAAAAAAATAATTTTTTACCAACTTTTTAAAACACCGCTAAGTGCATGATACAAAAATATAGAATGAGACTGAAATATTTCGCAAATGTGTTTATCTGCATCTAGCATTGCTGAAAACTAATATTGGTGGCACGTCAAACAATATCTAAATTATAGTATTAAAATTTGATTGTCATAGTAATCTTTCAGTGCGTTTTATAGCACATTATGCCGTGCTTACTCTCACCACAAGGATAGGATAGGAGTATACAGAAACAACTAATTAGGCGAGTACATGGTCTGGATTGGTTTGGTTATGAGAAAATTTAAGAATCGAATTGATCCTAACGATTCTGTGATTTTGAGAACCAAATCAAACTATTATACTTGTAAAACCAGACTAGAACCAAACTGAAATAACGGTTCAGTTTCGGTTTAGTTCACGGTTTTAAAAATTTCTATTTACAAGAATAAATTGTTAATATTAACAAAATAATTATTCAAACTAATTATGTTTAATTCATGATAAAAACTAATAATATTAAGGTATTACTCAACATTACATATTTATATCATCCTAATATCATTAAAATTACAAAAAATCAATTAATAAAAATAAAACTTGATATTATATATATATCTTTTAAAATTCGGTTCGATTCGGTTCGGTTCGAACCATGGATTTTTCATAAAATCCATTAACCGAGTCGTTTTTACGGTTCTCATATTTCTTAAACCGAAACCTTACTTTTTGATATAAATTTGTGACTTTTTAATTTTTTTAATAATTTTTTAACTTTTTAACTAAAAAAATCCTTATCAAATGAAGTTTTAAAAAGTATTTGTCAAGTCCACTTGAACTAAAAAAACGTTGTTAGGCCAAGTCTACAAAAATCAATTTTTGAAAGACTTTTTTAGCGTTTGATAATAATTTGAAGTTTTTGGTCATTTATTGCGGAATGAAAAATTACCTTATGAAAGCAATATCTTGCTTTTTGGAACTCAAAATCATAAATGAAAATTATTATGATGATCTGTCTCGGGATTAAGCAATCCCACCTTAAAAAAAAGTCTGATAGTGCTATATATATTGATTAATATATTAACTAACGTATTAATATTAATTATGATATTATTATTATTCTCATTTATTAAATAAATTATAAATATTAAAAGAGATTTTTATTGATAAATCCATTTTAGAGTTGTTATCACCCATTAGGTTCACTAAAAAATATTATAACCTAATTAGTCCCATAAATTTTTCTGGATATTCCATAAGGTCCATTTTTCTAATTTAATATAATTTGTTGGACTATTTTGCCCCTATATATATATGTACAGTGTTAATACGTAAAAGGTGCCTGTTTCTTCGTTCATGCAGTTTGGCAGTTTCTATTTTACGCTTTTCATCATCAATTCAATTCCGAGAGATACGTTTATGTTTTGCATGCTCGTTGCAAGGTTTGGTTGTGCCAGGGTTTCGTCCTTGCTGTTGGAGTCTGGTTCTGTGGTTTGCGTGTGAAAACGACGAAGAGGAGTGTGTTCGGTTGTTACATTTGCCAGATTATAACTAGTTCAAATCAGTTTTTTTCAACTTTCTGTACGATTGTAGGATTGGATGATCAAGGTTAGTATCAATTTGGTTATGAATACATGTTCAGTTTATGGTTTCGTTCGTATAATGGATCAGATGCTCTGTTTTTGGATTTATATGGATTGAATGCTCTGTTTTTTCAATTATATGCATTTTGCGTGGTTATGTGGAGGGTAGTTCATTCGTATTATGTGAAGATTGTGTAGTTCTCATTTGACTTCGATGCATGCGTAATGAAGCTCTGTGTGGATGATTTGATTATCAGTATATATATCAATGTCAATCTGCACATTTTGTGAATGTGGAATATGTGAAGAATGTGGATGTTCTCATTTTAAATTGATGTTTTCTTAATGAGGCTCTGTGAAGATTGTTAATAATTATGTGAAGATTGTTAATGTTCTCATTTTACTTTGATGCTTGCTTAATGTTAACATCTTGTTAATATCAATGTGAAAGTTTACATCCTCATAAACTGATGTGAATGTTCACATCATTATATTATGTGAAGATTGTTGATATTGTCATTGTACTTTGATGTTTGCTTACTGTTGGCATCTTGTTAATAGTAATGTGAATGTTCACATCTTCATATTGTGAATTATGGATTTAGCAGTTGAAATGTACACGTAGTCATCTATTTTTTGCACCAAGTGAATTTTCATATCGATTTTCATTACTGTTCATTGTTGTGTTTTTGTGTTTTTACAGGAGATGGATACCTTTATGCTATTGGTGTGTACATATGGATGTAGTACAACTGTAATAAATGTTGCCCGCGCAATGTGTTATTCTCGTTTGGTGGAGTGTTTGTGTGAGAAATGGGATGAGTTGTCTACTGGTTCTATTTCATTGTTCTATAAACTACCTGGGATTAATAAGTGTCATTTGGACAATGAGGAAGAATTTCAGAACATGGTACTGCTTGCTAAATCAATGGGGGTACAACATGTAGAAGTTGTGGTTGAGTTGAAGGGTGATATTTGTCAGTCAAGTAGTTTAGGATTGCTGCGTGTGGGGGTTGAGGATGAAATTGATGCACTACGGAGATTTTGCCATCATAAGGAGAAGGTGTTGTTGTCAGCCCCTTGGGCAAATGGTATTACGCATGTAGGACAACGGTTTGTTGGAGGTGCACAAGAATTTCGTGACGTTTTATGTAAGTATGCCATCCAATGTGGGTTTAAGTTCACATACGTGAAGAACGAGACAACAAGAGTTACAGCTGTGTGTGCGATGCGGGAGGAGAGGGGGTGTTTGTGGGCTATACATTGTAGAGCACAATGAGCAAATGATTTTTTCTACATCAAAAGGTTTACTGATGTGCATACTTGTGGTACGGATGTTCGAACATCGAAGAATCCGCGAGTTAGTTCGGATTTGGTGTCGAGTACCATATCTGAAATTGTGAGGGACAAGCCGTTGACTCGGCCGTGTGAAGTGGTGACTATTTTGAAGATGGATTATGGGCTAGATGTGAGTTACCATGTCGTATGGTTGGGTGTGGAGAAAGCAAAGGCTGGTATCCATGGAGATCACTCATTATCGTTTGACCAGTTGTGGTGGTATTCGGATGCTGTAATGCGGTACAATCCGGGGAGTTATGTCAATATTGACTATGATGCGAGTAGTCAACAGTTTTGTCGCTTCTTTGTGTCATTTGCTGCGTGTATTTCTGGGTTCAATGCTTGTCGGCCTTTATTATTCCTGGATGGAACATTCCTCAAAGGAAAGTACAAAGGTCAGCTACTTGCGGCAACGGCGAAAGACGGGAACAATGGTTAGAAGTTTTTTTTACCTGTCTATTCATGTCAATATTCGCTCTGAGCAGCGTAGTCTGGACGAAAGAGTGATTGCTAAATTATAAGTAATGTGAACATTCACATCAGTGACATTAGTATGCACTGATGTGAATGGTCACATCTTTGTATGCTAATGACAGAAATGTTAACATCAGACTGATGTGAATGTTCACATCAGACTTATTACAGACTGATGTGAATGTTCACATCAGTGTATACTAATGTTAGTTGATCTATTAATGAACAGTACTGTGAATGTTAACATTTTCAGTGACTCAACAATCAACAATGAATTATTAATGGTCGTTAATGTGAATGTTCACATCGTTGATGTTTACGAACCTGAATCCAAAAACAGCAATAGTAAAGAGGGCAATGTACATATGAACATTCACATGACCTGTTTCGTTTATACTATTTTTCTATTCACTTTGGAATATTGTGAACAGTTGTGTATTGGTGTTGTGTTGTAGGTCTGTTTCCTGTTGCATTTGCAATTGTTGATTCGGAGACCACGGCTAATTGGTCGTGGTTCTTGCATGAACTTGGGAAGGTTGTTGATGGGAAACGCCATATTATTTTTATTTCGGATCGTAATCTTGGTTTGTTAGAAGTTATGCCAAAGATGTTCCCATCGGCTCATCACGGTTATTGCTTACAACACTTGAAGAGCAATTTAAGAGACCGGATGAAAGGAATTGATAATGGATTCAAGGATCACCTAGTAAGTAGTTTGGGTGACTGTGCCTACGAGCCAACTGTGGTAGGGTTCCATGAAAAGCTTGCAAAATTAAAAGAGGAGGGTAAACAACGAGCTCATAATTTTTTCAAGGACTTAGCACCTGAGCACTGGGCAAATTCATACTTCAGGTAATAATAGTTTCCTAAGGTGTTCCATTTTTTAAGTTTAGAATGGTAGTGATGTGAATTTTCAGTTTATAATGGTGACAATCTTCGAATTGTGTTTCATCTTCAATGTAAATGATGTGAATGTTCACATCTGCTAATGATGACTGATGTTATGTTCACATCTGTTAATTTGTCAAATAGTCATGCAATGTATTACAGATTTGAATGTTGACACGTGTCATATTTTGTTGTTATTGTTAACATTCACATCTGTCTATCATTTAAGTTGACAACGTAATAAGCATATAATGTGAACATTCACATTATTAGAACCTGGTAGCAGATGTGAACATTCACATTATTATACCCTGATGTGAATGTTCACATCAGTATATACTAATGGCAGTAATGTGAACGTTCACATCTGTCAACATTAATGGTCAGGCCTGTTAAATTCCGTATTGTACAATGTTTGTGATATACTGTGCAGAGGCATGCGTTATGGGGAGATGACATCCAATGCGGCGGAGTCATTTAATAACTGGATTAAAGAAGCACGTAATCTTCCTATCACTCAAATGGTGGACAAAATTCGTACTCAGTTGATGCGGCAAATGTCTGCACGGCGTGACCAAGCAAACAAATGGAATGAGATTATTTGTCCGACATTCGAAACAAGGCTTATGGATTCGTTCAATGACAGCAAGTCTTGGCAAGTTAGCAAAGCCAACGAGGATGTGTTTGAAGTTCATTCGATACCATCGGTTACAGTTGATGTTGCGAGGCGTACATGTTCATGCTTCAAATGGCAAATCAACGGATTCCCGTGTGACCATGCTGTTATTACCATTCAAAAGAGCCGCTACAATCTCAATGATTGTGTAGAACATTATTTTCATGTAGAGACATATCGTGCAGCCTATTCGGGAGCCATATTCCCTATACCATCGGTGGAGAAGCCGCCTTTTGATCCCACGGACTTTACTATATACCCGCCTACCGTGAAAAGACCACCCGGAAGGCCGAAGAAGAATAGGATCCCATCAAGGGGTGAGAAACTGAAGCAAATAAGGTGCGGGAGATGTGATAAGTTGGGGAGCCATAATCGAAAATCATGCACGGAGCCGATATAAGATGTACCTTTTTTCATTTCAACATTGTATTTTACATTGGATTCTTATATTCATTTTTGAAATAAGATTGTGTTGTGTTGGGAAACATTGGGTTGCAATAAGATTACGTTGCGTTGACAAACATAATAATGCATTAGTGTTTGATTTGTGTTTTATTTTTACTTTTTTAAGGTACCAATCTGACATTTATGTTGGTTGTGTTTTGGATGAATGCATGCTGTTAACATTCACACTTATGTAATATAATCACATTATGTGAATGTTCACATTGTTCAACTTTCGAACATTTCTGTGGTGGGAATGTTCACATTGTTGTTACTGTTAACAGCAATGTTTACATCAATGTAACCATTCGCATCATCAACTCATAAGATGTGAATATTCATGACATCATTGTTGCCATTCGCATAATCAGAAGTTATGATGTGAATATTCACATCATCAAATTGTTAGATGTGAATATTGACTTGTGTTAAGAAAATCATACTCACACCTGTCATATTGTGTTACATGAACACTTTAAGAAATTTTCACATCCATGTAGTATGGTTTAAAATAGAAGAAAGTGTACGATCATTCTGTGATGTGAACATTGACATCACGTCATGTGTATCCAAAAAAATAAAAAGAAAATACAATCTCAATGTGCATGACCAATGAAAAATAGGCCTGAAAATGCATATACATATATTGACTAGAAAATATCTGTACAAGCAGTGATATAGACTTGATTTACAATTAAGCTAGTGAAACTAAATTGTCTTAAATGTGGATAACAGGTTTGGGTAACAGTGATAGGTGGACACCCCCCACCTATAGGTTTTCACATTGCACTGTCTTTCTGTGGTTCAGAAAAAGGTGTACTAATGAGTCTCTTATTTGACACCATTCAAAGCGATCTAGGCTGGCAATAATGTCTTCACGATATACATGCGCCCTCATGATGTAACAAACTGCAGGCCCACAATCCACCCTGAAAATGCAAACTTCTTGTTAGATTTTGAAATTTAGGTGGGTAAAGGCTGTGGAACATGTGTAGAAATCGATTTTAGGCTTACGAATTTGATGCTTGCTGAGGACAGATGTCCACTGATATGATTGTTTTCGAAGTATTTTGGCTTGATAAATTGGTCCATAATGGTGATGACGGTCCAATGTTGTGCACCAAAGCTGTGATGTAGTCCCTCTGCCAACAATGAAATTTCATATTAGGCACCAACCAACATAGGGCATACGTCCAAGTTCAAATATTACACATCACGACAAGTATTATTTTTGTCAGCCACTTACCAGTATTTGTGCTTTGTCAATATGTGGGTCATGTATGCCTTCTCTTGGGCGCAGTGAGTTATAATACCTCCATACATTCTCTTTCACGTCGTACACAACAATTGTCCAGTGAAAGTTGTCGTGTATTGGGAAGATTAAGAATCTCTAGCCTTGATACTCCTTGATGTGTACATCACTTAGTTTATTCCTCTTGTGGGGGGGGGTACTGTTCAATGATTTTCTGCACACAAAGGGCATACAATGATGTACCAAGTATTTATATCAATGTTTGGTGTTAATGATTTGAATGTTCATCTGCTAATGGTGGGTGATGTTACTGATGTGAATGTTCACATCTGTTAATGTGAGTAAATACTGCTGATGTGAATGTTCACATCTGTTAATGTGAGTAATACTGCTGAAGTGAATGTTCACATCCGTTACTATGAGTTATATTACTGATGTGAATGTTCATATGTGTGTATCATTTAAGTTTATCAACATAATAAGCATATAATATTCAAAGCGAATGATATGAATGTTCACATCTGTCAATGTGAATCTTCTCAAAGGTCATTTTATGTTGTTGTTAACATTCACATCTGCCTATTATTTAAATTAACAATGTAAGCATGTAATGCTGAGAATAACATCCACATGTATTGAAACATAATCAAAATTAAAGTCTAGTGGTTACCAAACATGTGCTTGTAAAGATGAATGATGAATCTTCCAAACTTGGGTTGACTAGCCCTTGTAGTTCAAGTAGAATTTCACCATAAGCATCTATCACCTGCAGAACCGGAGGGGTGGCAGTACATTATTTACAATGTCTTTACTGTGTGTGTGTGTGTGTGTGTGTGTTTTGTACACATTTACAGTTGCCATACGTTGTTGGTTATTGATTCTTCCTTGATGAGGTGTATGATGTCATCAAAATACACATGTTTAGTCTTTGAGTCCCCTCGCCACACTAGCAACCTGTGCATTATGATTACAGAAAATGTTAATGTCAACATTGCACATTTATGAAATGATCTATGTCATTAAGTATGTATGTGAACTGAACATGATGGAAAAAAAAAAACAGTTGGGGATATGTAAGATCACTTACTCATCACCGCCGTTCTTGTGCAAATTTTGAACTTTTTGCTTGTTGAGTTTGTTCATGTTAGCCCAGACCTTTAGTTTGTTGTTCAAGGATAACTTCTTGGACTTTGTTGGCTGCTTTTTTGGTGGTTGCTTGTCTAAATCTTGTGCAATTTGGACTGCATGTGATTTCTGTTGGGCTCCCTCTTTCCCTTTCTTCTGACCAGGCAGGTTGGGGTATTCAAACTCGTCCAACCTGTGTTCTGTCCTTACCTTCTGCTTTATGCGCTTTACCCTTGATGGGGGGCTGATAACGTGTTCCAATGCTGCAGTGGGATTGTTGTTAAGGCTGTCATGAGCCTTTTGTGCTTCAACTTGAGTGATGATCATCAAAAAGGTCTTGAAGTATTGTTTTTTCACATTCCAAGTTGATGACCAACTTTGTCAGCCGCTGAATTTCTGTATCTTTCCACTCTATGCAAGTCTTCATGTCCATGTCCACATTGGATGAGCCCAATTGGTCAAATAGTTTGGCTTCAAGGGCAGCAATCACCCTTGCCCTCAACTCCCATGATTCTTCCAACTGTTTGTATTTCGTTTCCCATTGCCGTACAAGAGCCCAAGCTTTTTGGTTTTCTTTCATGAGTACTTCCACAATGTCGGGCTCAGTTGGTTGTGCTATGATGATTCCCTTCTCAGCATTGGGGGTGCTACAGCTGGGGTTGATATAATGTCCAACATCATTCAGGTCCACTGCATCAACAGAAAATGCATCCCTGTCATCACTGCGTTGACTGTTTTTGCTTTGATCCTCATTGCTTTCATCTTTCTTTGCTACTGCACTTGACAAAATCTCAGGTTTTGGCTCCACATTCAATTTTGTATGACGATACATCTTCGCTTAAGTTGGTGATGCCATTAACTCGCCGCCATATACGTGCATTTCGAGACAGTATGTTAGTTAGATAATTCCTCGTCTCACTATGTGAATAAGCACAATATATTTGGTTGTACTTCTACCTCATTTAAACCTAGCTTAGCCAGAGTTATGGACTTCATGGTGCTATGTAAGGTTGTGAGGTCCCATTTTACGCATCGTGGAATGGCATTGGGGTTGCGGGGTTGTAAGATTGTTGTATGCTCACACAGCCAATACTGAAACAAATAACAAATATCAGTAATTTGAATGTGGATATGAATTAACATTGATGTGAATATTTACACCACTGGTGCAGTAATGTGAATGTTCACAGTGCACCACTAGGCCAGTAATGTGAATGTTTACATTACTTAAAACTGATGTGAATGTTCACATCCGTTGATATGAATGTTCACATCTGCTAATGTGGAGTAATGTTACTGATGTGAATGTTCACATTTCCTAATGTTGAGTGATACTACTGATATGAGTGTTCACAACTGTTAATGTGAGTGATATTACTGACCTGAATGTTCCCAACTGTTAGTGTCAGTATTATTACTGATGTGAATGTTAACATTTGCTAATGGTGGGGGATGATACTGATGTGAATGTTCACATCTGTTCATGTCTGTGTTATTACTATGTGAATGCTCACATTTTGCTAATAGTGAGTGATGTTACTGATGTGAATATTCACATCGGGTAATGTGAGTGGTACAACTGATGTGAATGTTCACATCTGTTAATGTGAATGTTTACACCAGCATCTACTAATGTGTGTTTGTACATTACTGAAACAGTAATGCGAATGTTTTCATCAATGTTGTCAACTTCCACACTAAAGCTGAGAAATGTGAACATTCACATCAGAGTGTTCAGAGCCCGTATATGTTCATATTAAACATAGAATAAGTTGTATGAGATTTGATTTACCATTAACAACATCACACATCCGGTGACTCGTCCTGGTTTTCCACAGTTTTGGCCCAATGAACCCATCAAGGTTGCCCGGATGCTCTCAGCCCAATCATACTCGATCATCTTGTGTAATGGGTCCATGTATGAGTAGAAAACCCATCCAATTGTTTCTCCGGATGTAGAAAAGAATAGCTTGACGCATGCATACATGCAAACTAATCTTGCGACCTCCTCATTGTCATGTTTTTTTGTGCCCTTCAATGCTTCCCTCAGAATATCTCGTATTTTGGCAGCACTTAACCGACTAACATCCTTGCACATTCGGTGTATGATGCCGGTTGTTGGTTTTGCACCATAAGAGAGGTCCCTCGACTTGGTGCCGCAGTCCACCCCAAAAATCAGTGATACGTCGCTTCTAAAAATCTGGATGTTCTTATCCCCAATGTAAAACCTTCCACTAGATTGCTTGAATATTTGTACTATACGTACAATGACATCATCATATTTCATGCAGTGGTTGAGGTCGATTTCGTTACTGATCAAGCTATCAAATAATGGCCAGAACGGTGTTTTTCTAAGGCACTTTAATTGGCCACTTGTAAATTTCGTATCCTTTAACAGTTTGACCAATCCAGTTATATTTGACCGGTAGTTCACTTTTTTCATGTTCACTTCTTCAGGAACAACTATTTGATCAGGTTTGGCTTTGGCACGGGATTCCCCTCTCTTCCGCTTGCCATCAAATCTATGGGGAAGACCTGGGTGTTCAAATAAGAACATATAATTGGCTGAGGATGGAACCAAAAGCACCAAACAACATTTAACAATCAACAGTGACAGTAATGTGAACATTCACATCATTGTACACTGATGTGAATGTTCACATCAGTGTATACTACTCAAAGTTTACCTAGTACTCAATACTAATGTGAATGTTTACATCATCTATGTTTGAGAAATAAATTTCGAACACGACAACAGTTACTGGGCAATGTGAATGCTTACATGGGTGATCACATTATGTTATAATTTGCTAAAAATCAAAGGGGGGAACCAACAACGCCAAACTACACCCAATAACACAAACAACTTGGGCATTGATGTCACAATGTGAATGTTTACATCATACGCCATCACAGTTTTGAGTGAAGTTTGGGGGTTCTGACATTAATGTGAACATTCACATCATGTGAATGTTCACATTAATGTCAAAACAGCCAAACTTCACTCAACACTGTGATGGAGCATGATGTAAACATTCACATTGTGACACCAATGCCCAAGTTGTTTGTGTTATTGGGTGTAGTTTGGCACTGTTGGTTCCCCCCTTCGATTTTTAGAAAATTATAACAGAATGTGATGCGGAGAA